GATGGAAAATTACTGTAATTTTATATTATTTTATGAAATTTTGTGTAATTTTCTGAAATCAAAATTACATATAATTTTTATTATGTGAATAATTTTTGCAAATATTTTTATAATGCTTGCATTAAAAATAAATAAAAATTACAATTCTGAATATAATAATGGATATTTATTAGCACTGGCTAAACTTTTGTAATATCAGTAAAATTATCATATGACAATGCACTATTTAATATAAAGTTATATTACAATTTCATAAGTTACAATGTAATTTATATAAAACATAACAAAGTAATTTATGTAATGCATCCCTATTTCTTAACCCAATCTAACTCTATCTAACCCTACTCTAACCCTACCCTAATAAATATCTGGGCAAATTTGCTCCAGGCTTCAAATAGATTTTCTCAAATCTTTATTTATATATTTTATAACTAATTTAATAACAATTTGAATTTAATATTTAGTTCTTAATTTACTAATAGTTCTTAATATCTGATCACTATTAAACAAAATTTCACCAAATACTTTCTAACCAATTGACAATAAATATCTTTTAACAAATTTGCAAATATAAAGTATCTTACTAAAAGAGGCTTTGATACTGTTTTTAAAGTAGTATAGATTAATAGAATTCAAAATAAATAGAATAAAAAAAATAAATAGATATTTGTTTAAAAAATCTTAATAATTTTAATAAAGATCTTATCTTTTAAACTCAAAAAAAATAAAATAATAATTTAAAAATATAAAACAAAAATTTTTTAAAATATGAATATTACACTGTAATTTATTCTTATTAAAGTGTAATAATCTTATTTATATTTATTAATATTTTATTAGAAACATAAGTATGGGAATAATTTGGAAATTGCAATTTATGAAATAACTAAAAGAGATGGTCTACTGACATAGCATTAGTGTTGTTAGTCGAAATAATTTAGACATTTAGGCATTTAGGCAAATTGAATTTAGGCAATTTTGACATTGTTATTTTTTAAAAATTACTATTAAAAAAATTAATTTAGACATTTAGACAATTTAATTTAGACAAATTTTAACATTAGCAAAAATAATTTTGACTAACAACATTACATAGCATCCACATGATTTATCTTTCTTATTAGCATAGCAGTTGACATTTTATTTTTTCAATCTACTTAATTTCTTGAAGCACAATAACTAAATGATAATGATAATGTCAACTTTCTGTACTGATAAGAGAAATAAGCCATGTGGATGCTATGTTGGTAGATCGTCTCTAACTAAAAACCCAAAAGATATTATGATAATTTCATTACTACAACTTTTATAATTAGACCTAAATTAATAACTCTGAATTACTATTTAATTTTTATAATTAACATGTATTAACTACATAATGTATTTATCGAAATGATTTCTAAATCTAATAAACTATATAATTATTGTATCAACCCACCTCAAAACCTATCTTCATAACAAATAGCAGTTTTCTAAATTCCATTGGAACTATAAACCTCAGCAGACTTCAGATAATTTTTTTTTTCAGTGCTAAGGTGAGATCATGCCTCGTGACTTTATTATAAGCATATATATTTTGTATATATTATGTGATACAATTATTATACTATTATTAAGTACATTATGGCTCAGACAGGTCTTGACTACTATCTGCAACCTAAACCTACCAGAGAATTCCATATCTTACTTATGTACAATCTGGATTTTTAACTACTATATCCGATTTGTATACATAACTCCCTTTTATATTTACTGCATCTCTTGTATTTACAACATGCAACTCCCTCTTTTGGTATCCTGTAGGAGGCCTCGTAATCTAACGGTTACTCCAAATTGGTCAAACTACTCTGCTTCTCTAATTCAAGCTTTTCATCCATCTACTATAGGTTCCGCATCATGTATTAATACAATGTGAAGCTTACACTTAACAAGGTATAGTTTTGCAGAAGAGGCAGCACTACAGCTATTCCACAGAGTTATGGCCTAGTTAACATCGTATGTGTATTATATACATTGCCAATTCTTGATAACAGGTACTCCCATAGTTGGTAGGTAGTAAGAGTAAGGGAATGATCATAACAAAGTTACTTCTATAGGTGTTTTTTGTATTCCAGATCTTTTAAATTATTCTGAGTTTTCCCCAAATATATTTAGTGTTTCTATTGCCCTAATATTTTAGGTTATGAGGCATTTAGAGGTATAGACCTAATTAGGACTTGCAGTCTGTTTCACTTCCACATTAGTGTTTGGTGCTTCTTATTAGTATTCTACTTCTTATTTGTGTATTGCTACACTCTCAGCCCAGTGCTTCTAGCTATTTTGTCTACGTTTGGATATAGTTACATATACCTCAAGTTTTAACCAACTCTCTATAGAAGTTTGTTCTTTTTCTCATCAGGTAAGTAGTTGCACCAGAGGTGTTCCAAATCTAGTAAGACAATTCTTTACTACAGGTCTCTTTGTGTTCACCACATTTCTCACTACTTCTAATTCTAGTTACTACCTGGTCATCTTCCCAAGCAAGATTCCCAATGCTGCCTTAAATGTTGTTAGTGCTATCTTGCTAATTGTAGATTTACATGCACAACTTTTGTGTAATAGAACCTTTTGTAACAACCACTGTTATATGTAGTGCCAGCTACTCCACAATGGACCTCTTTCTGGAAATTCCTAATTCAGACCTATATTCATTTGGACTTCTCATGGCAAATTCTTCCAAATATTCATAGGTAAACGTACTTACTAGAACTTGAACCCAAAACCCACTCATGGAGGGTTGGGTGTCTAGGCCACTCTGCTGCAGGATCCCATCCTTTCAGACTTCAGATAATTTGTAAATGCTTATACTTAGCTATTAATACTTTATGAAATGCTTTTTGCTTATCAATTTCAACACCAATTCCTAAATAATAACAATAACCAACTTGTATATTCTATTAGAATTCCTTATGTTTGCTGATTTTTTTTAATGCATGAAAAAAAATTTCAAACCTACTTCATTCTTCTTCACACCAATTTCATATTCATAAAAAATGTTAGTTTTTTTAATTCTATTAGAACTACCAACCTTAGCAGACTTCAGATAATTTGTAAACACTTATGCTTAGCCATTAATACTTTATAAAAATGCTTTTTGCTTATCGATTTCAATGCCAATTCCTAAATAATAACAATAACCAACTTGAATATTCTATTAGAATTCCTCATATTTGCTGATTTTTTTTAATATATGAAAAAAAATTTTAAACCTACTTCATCCTTCTCTATGCCAATTCTATATTTGTAACAAATAGCAGTTTTCTAAATTTCATTGGGACTACTAGCCTTAGCAGACTTCAGATAATTTAGAAACGCTTTATATTTAGCCATTAATGCTTTATAAAAATGCTTTTTGCTTATCGATTTTAATGCCAATTTCTCAATAACCAAATTGATATATTCTATTAGAATTTCTTATATCTACTAACTTTTGATAATGTGTAAAAAATATTTCAAATCTATATTAGCCATTAATGCTTTAAAAAAAAATTTTTTTATATTACAGAAAGTAAATCTTTAAGTATATACCGTTAAACGCTTTACTTAATAGTTCTTATGCCTTCCTTTTATAGATCATTCAAATCTCTCTTGTAATCATCTAAGGTAGCTTGATTACAAGTTTTTAAGAATAGATTAGATATTGACATCATGCTTTCAAAAAAAAAACTAAAAAAAAAGTACTTCCCAATCCTACTTAGCTATATACTATTAGGCTAATAGTAAAAATGTAATATTAGTAGAAGTTGCCTAGGAATCTGATTATATCTTATTAAATTTGCCAGCCACTAGTAAGGCCAAAGACCAATATATACTGAAAGTTATTTACTTATAAGTAACATATATAGTGACTTGTTATATGAGCAATTACATTTTTATATAGAGGGTACTCTAAAACCAATATAAATAATTGTGTAATAATCGACATTACAGTTGTAATATATTAGCCAATCAAAATGACTTTCCATCATGCTTATATATATATATATAAACTTTAATTTCCCTATATAGAAACAATATATAAACTGGCAATTAAAAAAATTACAGTATCTATCTCAATAACAATCATTTTGCATATTTAATTGCAACTATTCTATATATACTGCTAAAACTTAAATAAACTACTATTGAATTTAGCTTATCTGCAATATGTTAGATGATTTTTAATCTATATAAAGTGATTGAGGCTTTTAAATTTCCTACACTATACCATAAAGTAGTTGTATACAAACCTCTAAAGTAAAGTTTGAAACTAAGTTCAACCATGGATCTAAATCTAATTTTCTTCAGAATCAATCTAAATTTGAATATAACCTAAATTCGCAATATTTCACAGAATCAATAGTACAGATATAGAAAACAAGAGTATATCAAATATTTTTGTATATATATATATACATTTATAAAAGTAATTATTAGAATAAATTCAAATTAAATTCAAAGCTAAAAACTAATTAAATAAATTCGAATCTAAACTCTACTTGTAGATTGTATTATATTCAGATATAAACTAGAGGATTTATATTAATTAAAAATTTTTTTTCAAATACAAAATGAACATGCTCCTAAAAATTTTCTCTTATTAATATAAGCCTTAGCTATATACTAAATCAAATTTTAAAATTGCTAAAATATAAAGACAAGAGTTTTGAATACAACCATTTATAGTAACAATAACAATATCAATAACAATATCATTATTAGTATTATTATTTAATGTTAAATAGTTATTTCAGCTATTTTTTTAAATAAAAATAGAACTAGTAAACATATGGATTGCTTTTTTTTTTAAAAAAAAATAAAATCTTTGAAATTAGTTTAACTCGCAACTCTTTTTTTTTAATTAAATAACCCAAAAAAAATAATAAACTCTGCTTTTCTAGTATCTGTTTTTTATTTCATATCTATATATAATAGAACATGCTGAAAATGTGAGTAGTTTTGTAAATGAAAATGATCCTTCAATGGCTAGTGAAACTGATTCTGTTATAATGATGCAATTTTCATATAATACATCAAATAATGGAGGATGGCCACTAATAGATATTTGGGATGAGTATGATATAATTGACAATGGAAAAGGAAATTATAAAGGGGTGAGTTGCAGATATTGTCCTACATCATGTACTAAGTAAGAGCCCATGATATGAAAACTCACTGTGTAAAGGGAAAGTGCCAAGGAAGATTCAATTTAAAGTACTTAGAAACCTTCAGAGTATAGAAAAATCTGGACTGTCTAAATTTATGACTTTAAAAAAAAGAAAATTCTATCCATCATCATTGTCTATGGATACCTATTATAATATAATTAAAGCTATTGATAAAGCTAAAGAAGCAAAGACCAACCAATCATTGATTAAATAGGTTGTAAGTTCAGGTATTTCATTTTTAGTCTTTGATAATCTGTACTTCAAAGATTTTACGAAGATATTAAACCCTGGATATAATTCACCTAGGCATAATACATTAGCATTATTGGTTTTAGATACAGAAGTGGCAAATATTATTTTAAAAATAGAAAAGAACTATCTAAAGCTAAAAATCTTACTTTATGTATAAATAGTTGGTGTAGCCTATTAAAACATAGTATATGTGCTTTTGTTATTATGATGAATAAAAGGAAGCAGTATGTTTATTCTTTACAAAATTTTTCAAAGTTTTCCTATATGGCAAATTTTAATGCTGAAAAAATAATAAAGATATTAAAAAAAGTTGGCCCAGAAAAATTTATCGCAATAACCACCAATACTGAATCAGGATGATTGCAGCCAAACAACAATTTATAGAAAAATATCTAAAAATTTTACCTATAAGATGCATTGCACATCACATCTAACTTATCTCTAGCAGTATTTGTAAATTACTATTAGCAAAAAAGATACTATCAAATTGTCAAAGTATTATAAGTTTTTTTAAGAATTTTTACTATGCTGGTACTACCCTTAGGGAAGAAATTATATTCTTCTCTACTGTTGGCAAAAATCTAAAATCGACAACTAAAACTCAGTGATCAACAGCATGGGATTCTTGTGAGTCTATATTATGCAATAAAGCAAATATTAGATTAGTAAGTTTATAATTATATCTTGTAATAGCAATCTATATTATTATTTTTTGCTATATAACAATGTACTTCAATACATATAGCATGAGATTTTCTAATTTCAATTAACAGCAAATTGTTAAATTAATAATTTATTTCTATCAATTAATAATTGAAAGATATTAATAAAAAGATATAATCAGTGATTAATTATAATTTTTAAATTAAAAATAAAATAGCTTTTAAATAATTAATGTATTAGAGTAATAATGCTGCATTCGATAATTTTTACAGATAATAAAAATCATTGTTTGTATTATCTTTAATAAAAAATCTTTTATAAGTTACATATTGGATAATTTATTATTAATAACTATCGCTATTCATATTAGATGATTGTACTTAAAATATATTTTATAGCTTGACTATATTTTTTGTTATGTAATCTACTTTATACAAACACCTTTTACTATAAAGTTGTCTAATCAACTATTTTTATAGGTTTTAAAACAAGATCCTCAAGTTTTTAATTATGCAAGTACTATAAAAAATTTAATTAATGATTGTCAATTTTGGATTGATGTTGAGCAATTGCGAAATATTCTTGACCTGATAAAACAGGCTATAAAATGCAGAGTTTTGAACTACTTTGTTGGTAGATGTATTTGTTGAGCTAGTAAAAATGGCTATTTCAATCCAAGAAATTTCTGTTCTCTATACTGTAATTGCATGTATTAACATGCATCTGTGCATTATTTTGAGGCCCTGCGTATTATTTCAGGATGCACATACATGGCAATTTGAATCATTTTGACAAATTTGGGATCAGTCAATTTATTACATAATTTACATATTGCATAAGTTGCATACTTGATATTCATATATGAATACCCATCTAACTGTAGCAAAAAGGTAACTTAAATCTTACTCATTAGCTGACTCAAATTTGAAATATCAAAAAATTCTGTTATTAACTTTTAGACTTATAATTTAATATAAATGCTATACTATATGATCAGTTTTTCTAATCAGTTTAATATATTATTTAATTTGTATACTAGAAAAAGTTAGATTAAACAAGCCTTTATCTACAAATAAGTACTAACTCTAATTATTATTTTAAGAATTTTTTTTTATTTAGTCGCTATCTCAATAAGTTTTTTTTTATATTTTTACTATCTATTTACATTTTATTTCTACTTGTTATATACATTGTGAGCGTAGGAACTGATCCAGGCTCGGAAAATATAGCCAATATGGATATCAATCAACACTAAAACTAATCTAAACACTACTCTAAAACTACTAAACTCTATCTCAACCCTAATAATAGTAGGCACGAAAGAGGTGTGGAAGACTTGGTCTGAGTTATTAGGGCCAAATAGAGCTCTTGATTACATCACGAGACCTAATTTGGGATCACAGGTTTAGACTACTAACTCTATATAAATTTGATTTTATCAGGGGGAGGGGGTAATTGGACTGAAACTTTGAAGTCAGAATACTAGACTCTCTATGAGTCGACCTTTAATGAGTTTTACAAACTCTAACTCACACTGAGCTATCTTTTTATTGAAATGAAAAGATCGGTCTTATATACTTTTAGACCACTACTGCATACATGAGGGCTGTGTTTGCCATCTAAACTACTTTTACTATGTCCTCTATATAAAAATATATTAATTGTATGAATTTAAATGAAGTTGAGCAGAATTGTATAAAATTGTATGAATGCCTTCGTACAAAATTGAACAACTGCTTTCGTACAAAATTGAACAAAATAACTATGCTGCATACTAGTATATGTGTATCTAATATTCTATTTTAAAAAAATTTTATCTCAAGCCACGATTTTACCCTGTTACAACATATGTACTACATGTTAATAAAAAAAAACTTGTTTGTTACTTTATTATTAACAAGCCACATAACTATTTTGTTGAAATTTATTGATCTCATGTAATTGTCAAGTTACTGGTTATTTTTACCAACTTATACATAACAATTTTTATCAAATTCACATGAATATAATTAAAAGATTAAATTTAATAATACCTTATTTGATTTACTAGAGAAAAACTAGACTTTGATTGTATATACCTTATTAACTAAAGACCCTAATCCAGGTCACATTGAGTAGCATTGTATCTACAAGTAAACAAGACATGTGGTTGTATTCTACTGAGTTTGTCTGAATTTGGAATGTAAACAATGCCAATCTTTTGGAGGGGTAAGCCAAATCCTTCACTTTTCATAAAAATTTAAAAGGCCAGCAAGAAAGCAGAAGTGAGTAAGAAGAGAGTCACTTGGCCAAGTAAAAGAGTGTGGCTTAAGAATAGCAAGTTCTTCACTTTTTCCCAGTTATTTAGTTGTTATATAATTTTTACTTTAACCTAGCATGGGTTAGAATAGTGCTGTCTTTTTTTTTTTCTTTTTTTTGTATTTTCTTTTTATATTCCCCTTCATATTTGGTTTTGTTTTTTTATTTTACACTGGTAATCATAAATAATGCATCAAAAAATTTTTTTTGGTTAAATTGCATTATTTCATGCAATTCCAGTTGTATCCTTTTAATTTTTTTATTTTGCTCATAAATAGTATAATATTCATATATTAAAATCTTAGAAAGTATTAATGAGACAAATCTTTCACAGACACAAGCTTTATTTAAAATTAAATGTTGCATTACTTTTGCTTGTTTTAAACGCAACACAGATATAAAACATAAAAAGTTTTTTTTTACATATAAAAAAAAATATTTTTTCTACTTCAATATTTTATGGCTGCACAACATACTACAACTGTCTTGTGCCTTGATAGCTTTACAAACTTGTTCTGGCATAGATGTGAATTTGATAATATGGGTCCTTCTTTTGATTTTTAACTTGACCATCTTGATTTTGCCCCAAGGATCTTTTTTTACTTAAAATTGACCCAAAACTGTCCCCAAGTCGATAGTAAATCTTAATCTACAAATATTTAAAAGATTAAGTTTAGATGGCGAGAATGTTAATTAAAAATCTTTGTCTAATTATTTCTATACTAATATTCTATAAATATACTCTATATTATTAATAAAATTTATACCCACATTTATTATCCATATCTCCCTAGCAAACTAAAAACTTTGAACAATAATATCTCGATAACCACTGGATCAAATTCGATAAAAATTTTCTATATTGATTCTATGGGTCTAGATGATTCAAATAAAAAAAGTTTTATCGAATTTGATTAAGTAATTGTTTGATATCTTTTTTTTAAAAAAAAAAATTCAAAAACGCCTATTAAAATAACTATTAAAATTTCTTTAAACCTTTGGGCGAAGATATCACGAAAACCATCTGACCAAACTCGATGAATTTTTTTTTATTCGAATCCTCTAAACCCGTAAATTTTTTTTAAAAAAAAGTTCATCGAATTTGTTCAAGTGACTATCGAGATATCTTCGCTCAAAATTCTAAATGCCTATTTAAATAAAGAAGCACCAAATTTTTTTAAAACTTTGAGCGATGATATCTCAACAACCACCTAATCAAATTCGATGATATATGTTATTTTTATTCAAATCTTCTAAACACATACAATTCAAAAAAAAAAAAAATTTCATCGAATTTTATCAGGCGATTATCGAGATATTCAACCAAAGTTTTAAAAAATATAAAACGTCTATCAAAATAAAGCAGGCCAAATTTTTTAAAACTTTGAGCGAAGGTATCTCGACAACAATCTGATCGAATTCGATTATTTAAATCTCTTAACTTTTGGAATGCAAATAATATATATATATTAAAAAGTATAAGTAAAAAAAAAAATGAAAAATGAAAATAATTCAACACTTTGAGCTAACAAAAAATCATTTTAGTCGGTTTACTTTTGCATGAGAATTTCTTAAATTGATAGTATAAATGATTTGGTAGGTCTTCGCCACTAGTTGCATTAATGCTATTGTTATTTATATTCGAAGGATTCATCTTCTTGACCTATTATTTTGATGAAAAATATATAATTGATGATGAAGATGAATCAAATGAAAATTTAAAATTGTGATAAATTATAGTTTAAAATAGTTGTGCCTTACTATGATTGTATTTAATATTAAAAAATAATTCGAGTTGCTTATAAGGCCATACAAAGTTAATTTTTTGGTTCTCATAACATGGGACAAAAAAAATGACCCGCCCGCCCGGACTTTTATTTAAAAATTTTATATATAAAAATTTTTAAATTTTATAAAATTTTTAAAAAATTTTTTTTGAAATCCCACCCGCCTATTAAAACATTTAAAAAATTTTTTTCAAAAAAATTTCAAAATATGACCCGGCTGGGTTATGAGAACCCAAAAAATTAAGTTTATATGGCCTAATAGAAAATATATTTATTAATTTATCTTAGTTTAATACAGGATATTTATCGGTTTCTGGCTTGGTATGAAGAAGCTGTTTATTATATGCATATGAGAACACTATTATTATTTTACTGTTCTCAAAAAATTTTTAATAGTGAACAGTAAAAAATTTTACTGTGCACAAAAATTTATAATAGTGTTCTCATGAGAACTCTGAAAACACTAATTTGAACACTAGTTACATCTGATCTTGATGTTTGATTGGCCAGAGTAATTTTTTATAGTGGTGATTTTTTTCACTGACTCGATGTTCGCGTTTTTTTTTAATATATTCTGTATCAAATTTTTGGTATTACTCTCTAGAACCGTTAAGTAAAATTTAAACGTTCCTTGCAATGATCTTGGACAATCTTTCGACTTCGATAGGTTAAAAAAGTTTTCACAAAGATTATTTTGCAGTTACTTTTAACTATAATTTACGTTACAGAGTACACAATACTTTGCGAAAACGAAACCGCACGCGAATGGAGAGAAAAGGGCTTTCTTCTATGGCTAGAAGAAAATGGTGAAGATCTATTCAAGGGATGAAACACTTCATGAACGAAAGATGAAACGGAACAACATGTTTTTAAAACATTAGAAGACCTCATTTTTCACTGCAACGGTAAAAATTTTTTGGATAATCTCGTATATATCATAATAGCAGAAGATCAATCAATCTTATGCCAAATCGGCAACATCTCTTCGTAAATATGTGGTACGTAAGTACATATGTATTCTTTTTTATGAGTATGAACATCAAACAGATCGTGGTAGGAGTTTCATACTGTGCAGACCGTGGTGGGAGTTCAGGCTGTCATTTTTGAAAGACATTCATCCTAGAGCATGTAACAGAACAGACCGTGGTAGGAGTTCCTTAGTTTCACTAGCAAGATATATTTAATTCTTTTATACAGTCAAACCTCTCTATAGTGACCTCCTATATAGGCACATTTTCTTTATAACAATCTATTACGTATTAAATATTATAATTGTCACGCCACGCTGTTTTGTATCCCAAGTGTGTGATTACAGAGAGGTTTGACCGTATATCAAAAGTTAAAATTCTGGTTGACGTTTCTCAATAGTGGGCACGACGAGTACTTGAAAGTTTTAAAGACATGAAGAGGCACTAAAGTATATTCACTTAAAATTAATAATTTAAATATGATGAGGGTATGAAGTTCGAGAAATACTTGAAAGAAATTAAATAATCTAAAGCATGTGAGTTTAATTTTTTTTTGTTAGAAGCGATATTAGCAAAACCGTTCATTTATGATTATTTTTAGGGCAATATAAAAGACAAGCGGACAAAAATAAGGACTATTTCTCTCTTCATCAGAATAAGAATAAAGAAAACTCAGTTAATTTTGATGTTAATTTAGATTCAGTTAAATTTGATTATAACGCAAACTCAGAAAATCTTGATGCAAGATGTTGAGATTATAAGTTGCCATTAGTTGAGGTCTGGTGTTTTCATAATTTTATGTTTCGTTACTGTTCATAATTCAATTGATTTCACATTTGCGTTATAGATTTCAAGTATCATGAATATAGATGTAACCAAAACTATTTGGAACGTCCCAAAAAATGTGATTATTAGCTTTAGCTGCTTTTATTCTTATTTCCGAAACTACATAGTTTAGGACGTCTAAATATTTTGGATTACATCATTAATCAAGACGCTTGTTGTAGCGCTTCTATCCATCAAACGTTTCTTATTTTTACCTTTGTTGATGAAGATCTCTAGTATTCGATCAACGATCTCACGAGTATGAGCTGTATCCTCGCAAATCTATAACAATTAAAATGTGTAAAGCGACGATCGATCAAATATTAAGTGTAATCAATAATTTTTTTTTAAAAAAAAGATCGATTCAAGTATAATTTTTTTTTTAAAAAAGACCAAAAAACTACTTAAATATCTTTATCATCTGTATCGTCATTAATAAATACGCCGTTATTATTTTTACATTTTTCAATCGGTAAAAATTGAACATGTCAATCGACAATCGACACAGATTAAAAATTGACGCGTAACATTATTTACAGCCCAAATATATGTGACTTCATAAAAGCACTTTTTTCTGTTCTCTAAGTGCGTTGTGTATTAGAGAGGTCTGATTATATTTTTAAATTTATAATGAAATGATTTGAAAAATTTTATTGATTTTTGATTCTTTGTATGCGCTAAAATGTCATCCTTACTATTTTCCTATAACTAAACTATTACCTTACATAATAAAGATGCTTCAAAACTATATACATTTATAAACAGCAAGAAAAAATATATACTAAATCGAATAAACTAAATTTTACAAACTTGAAATACTTCATAATCATCAACATAAAACCAACCATCCCTATTTCTTATTGGTTTCTCATATATATTATCTTTTATGCAACACCATTTTTTAGGAATAGGATTAACATATTCTCCCATTCCAAGCTCATTATGAAAACATGGACCTTGTGATCTTTTGCCATAAAAAATTGCTTCCGATGTAAATTTAACACGACTAAGAATAGATCGATCCATATTTCCATTATTTAAAGAGAAAATAAAGCTATCAGACGTCATTGCATATTCATTACTATTATCACCAATTTTCCAGATAAGAGGATTGTAGCCACCAAGTATTTCATCCGAATCACTGACTTTTAAAACGATCACGGTTCCAGGTACATTATCACAAAGCTTATGAAATATTTCACCGGTGAATCCATCCCTGCTGCCTCTAAGTAAAAGTTTAAATTCATATGAAAATGTACGTCGATCAATCCAGGATAAAATCTCCGCGGCATGCTTTAATGTGATTATAGAAGAAGAAGGTGTAATAATAGACGTTTTTCGAAAAGGAGATTGTCCCGTCGTTTTTTTGCGAGGTGGTAAAATTAGAGAAGTAATGGGTAGACCTGGAGCTAAATATTTTGCTAAAATATCATCCCATACGTTCTTTTCAAGGATTTTGTAATAAGGTTTAATTTTCTTTAAGACATCTTTACTAGGAATTTGAAAATATCTAATATAAGGAAGACAGTGTCGAAGAGTAAATTTTAAAGACTTAAAATCCTCATCAGTCCATTCCTCGAGATTATATGGTAGGCCTGGAGTTCTTGTTTCTCCCCATAGAATAACTTTATCCCAAATTTCCGTTTCTTCCATTTGCAAATCATCTCTCTTTAAAAGTGCAACCAAAGCGTTCTCTTGAAGTATGTTAAAATCATCAGAATTAAAAATCATGCACGGATTTTTTACAAGAATGTCATTGCAAAATTGTTGTAAATCTTCAAAGTTCTTATTATTGATGCTTATTTGATAAATTCGAGAAAAATTTAAACGAAGCCAAGAAGCATTATTATCTATAAGATAAGACTGAATATGTTCGATTAATTCTATAAGCTTAAAATCATTTAGAGCAATTAATAGATCGAATAAGGTTGGGGCTTCAAAATCTTCCAAAGAAATTATGCCGCTGTAGATATATCTAAGTCGTTTCGTAAATAACAATAAAAAAATCGTTAAATTATAATTATTTTGAATCATAATTAAATCAATGTAATATTAATATAATAATTTACCTAATAATGATGTCAAATATCTTAGCAGAATGATTTGGTATTTTAAGTTCAACAACATTATTTTTCTTAATTGCATTGGTTAATTTTCGACGAAAATATAATGAACGTTGATACAATATTGCTGAATGTGCTTTAAAAAGTATGACATTTGGTTTTTCACCAACTTCAATCACTACGTTATAATCATAAGCATTTTCAAGTAGATGTGTAAAATCTTGAGATAGTTGGTCAAGAAACTCTACGCTCATTTTATAGTTTCGGAGGGTACTTGTCGTGTCGTTTTGTAATTTACGATCGAATAGATTTGGTTAACTTTCCCTTTGGATCGTTGCCCCTTTTTATCAGCAGATTATCATCCAGTATTTGATTACCCAGTTACACACATTGTGCAACAGTGATCACGAGGATTAATTAGTCAGAGTAAACAATGTAGATCACCAATTGATTTCTAATGCGAAAGAACATTTTTGATTATACTTTTCTACGTAAATTAATTCACTTTTTTCAACAATGTACTAATTAACAATGAGCTACCTTTATTTTGTTCTCATAATTTTCTTATAATAGACATTATTTAAGTTTGCATCGGCTGAACCGGTTTTGGACTAGGACCGATGGGACCGTGAGAAGAACTGTCCGGACCGGTCCTTGATCGGTCCATAAGAACCAACCAAATTGTTTGATTAACGTAATGTAGATTATATAACGATAATATTTGTTTATACTTCTTTCAAATCAGAGCCTTAAAAGGACTGAGGTCAGACCGGACAGGGTCCGTAAATACAATGATAATTGGTCTCATAAGGACTGGGGCGGACTGGATCTGACCGATGCACCCCTAGATTTTATAATACATTATTATAAAAGTTGAATTTTCGATTTTGTTTGCTGTAAAAAATTTCTTGTAAATGTTATCTGTCATGATATTGTATAATTTTGATTACGCGCGTAACCGCATCCCGTGGGAGATTTTAGATCGTCTATCACTACTATTTATAGAGTCTAGAATGAAACTTAATTTTATCTGTGCTCAACTGCACGGGTTCTTGCTAGTCTTTATAAAATGACAGATGGAAAATTTCCTTTCCTGGAATTGCAATGAATTTTTTGGTCGTTGATCTCTGCTCAAAAGTATAAAAAAGGAATAGTCTAATTTATATGATACGTACGATCTAGTCTATACATGTTCATAATCCTGTAATCATCACACTACATATCATTTATGGTAAAATGATCGAACAAATTATAAGTCTCACATTCCGATTGATTGATGATAATTGATGATACACGCAAGTTATGATCGGATAAATGATCTTCCGCTAATTAAATTTTTTCTCTGACGCATTAATTGGTCGTCTAAAGTCGGGTATATACAGTAGTAATTTATACATATCACGTGATCGTAATTTACAAAAAACTACCTGACTTTAGACGATCCCTAATCCTGGTAAATCTCGAAAGGTGCCACAAATTTTAAGCATACCGAAATTTCACTTGGCAAGATATGAATTAAGGGAATTTTATTGGATTCTTTTTTATCAAAGGACAAAAATGTGAATTCTGGATATTGCTTTTTTCTAATGTAAGATATCAAATATTGAATAAAAAAATACCTAATTACTTTGCAACTAACAATGAAGAATTTCATTTTTTGCATTTATTCTATTTGTTATAATTCTCACCATAAACGCAGTTTCTCATCAAAAAAACCACCAAATTTTTCGATTGCTTTACTTGGGGTCATACTCCGGTACCTAACGTAAAGATTGCACCTGATCCTCTTGTTCTTGGACAAGATGCAAAATGAAATATTGACGGATAATAATACTATCACCACAAGCGAATCATTTCTTGAAATTATTTTTAAAGACAAACAATTTGAACTTTAGGTGATTGTAGTCAAGTTTTTAATGAATTTTTTTCAGCCAATTCTTCATATTCGATAGAAGCATCGAAGGTTACTGTTCCTAGTAATTTAATAGCAGAAGCACAATTTATGTTAATATTATGTATAGTCCAAAGATTAAGATTTTATTTAATCTTTTAATTGTTTACAACATAATTACTGTTGAACCTCCCAAAATCGATCCTCTCAAAACCGATAACCTGTCAAATCTGATAGAAAATTAGCCTACCAAGTCCGTTTCCGTTATATAAATCTAATAGTTTATAATGTTATCAAATCCGATAACCTTTTAATACTGATACAAAATCTGCCCACCATGCATATCGGTTTGGGGAGGTTCAACAGTATTTAATTTTAATTTTTTTTATTTAAATATATATAAACTGTATTTTAAATTTAATATCAAGTTGTTTGAGTTTGTTATATTTAGAGGGTGGAATCGATGAAGAATTATTCGATCATCGATCAAAAATTTCGAGCATAATTCGAACAAAGCTAAAATTTACTATTTGTCTTGATAACGATAAATTTTTTGTTTATTTTAAATAACAAAAAACAAGCAATTGATAAAAATTTAAAGTTACATTAAATGTTTTGATATTTTATAAAACTCAATGAACATCCGAATTTCGATCAACCGATGCTCGAAATAATTATACAATGCTCGAAACTCATCGATTCCAAGCTCTCATTATATTTATTACATATAGTAGTAATGATAACTAAATTTTGGCATTTTATTTATTTATTTTTGTCGAGTTTATTTATTATGATTTGCATATTATATATAAATTTTATTTATTAATCAGACATATAGCGAAAAAAATTAATATGATTCGATTAAAATCTTTAAAATAAAATCATAATAGGTCTGGAATCCATCTAGATTAGAACGGAATAATTATACTAAAAATCCCAACCCTAACCTTAAAAATTTCGAATCAACTTAAATT